TCAAGAGACATGGAACTACTGGAGAGAGTCCAGTGGAGGGCTATGAGCGTGATGGGGGGACTGGAGCATCTCTTGTATAAGGAAACACTGAGAGAGCTGGGTCTGTTTAGCCTGGAGAAGAGAAGACTGAGAGAGGATCTCATGCTTATAAATATCTAAACAGCGGGTGTCAAGAGGATGGGGCCAGACTCTTCTCAATGGTGCCCAGTGACAAGGGACAACAGGCACAAACTGAACACAAAAAGTTCCATCTGAATATGAGGAAAAACTTCTTCACTGTGAGGGTGACCGAGCACTAGAAGAGGCTGCCCAGGGAGGTTGTGGAGTCTCCTTCTCTGGAGATAGTCACAAACCAACTGGATGCCATCCTGTGCAACCTGCTCTAGGTGATCCTGCTCTAGCAGGGGGTTGGACTAGATGATCTCCAGAGGTCCCTTCCAACCTCTACCATTCTGTGATTCCGTGATACATATATATATACACACATATATATGTACACACATATATATGTACACACACACATATATTTATTTCATTATAATATAAGGAAATGGGTTACACTGCATAAAACTGAATTCTGGTTATACTGAGGCTTCCTTTAGCAGTATATGGTAAAGCAAGGGTAAGCCTATGAAATTCTATTTCTGATAGCTGTCACACCCAAGAAAGGACTTGAAGGAGCACCACACAAATGCGATCCTGGTTTACAATTACTGTCTGTGAACATCCAAATTTTCTAAACTACTGACACATCTGCTTGGGCAAACATGTGCTTGGGCAAAAGGGTTTGCTGCAAAGGTGCCTGAGTGAGAAAGTCAGCCTGTCCTGGGGTTATGTACCTGAAACAGACAGTATTTTTAGAAAGGCAAGCTGAGTGTTGACATCATTAATGGCAAAATGCAATGACACATTTTCTAAATAATCTTCTAAGAAAGGCAAATTTGTGGGTTTCTCTATTTATGCTAATCTGCCCCCGACCATTGAAATCTGTCAGAGCAAGGATGGTGCATAAGCCCCCATAAATATGGCTGAGTTGTGCAAAACCAACAGTAATCCCTATAATACACGATCTATCACCACACTTCTTATCTCCTATTGTATAATCCCCTGTACACATTAACCTTTTAGCAATATTACATGTAGAAGAAAACCCCTGAGTATTGTGAATAACCCTTTAGCAGAATTCATCCTATATAACACAACAGTTTCAGTCACGTGCGCTGCAGTACTATTTCTCTCACTCTTCCACCCATGGCTCTCCTTCCTCTGTGGCAGATGCCCCAAGAGCAAAGCACTCTTTTCTGGTGTGCAGTGCCCTAGGAACTCTCTCTGTCCTTCTAGAGTTACAAATCCTTTCCTTCAAACCTCAGGAATGGAAACATAAGATTTTGAAAGGCAAACACTATATTAGAAATTCTACCCGGTAGTTTGATCTCTCAAATAGAAATGTTGTTAAGTATTGCCAAAAAGATTCTGGTCTTCTATAATGAAAGGATACCCACTGATTGTGGGTAAGGCTTATGTTAGAAAACCAGATGTTACATAGTGGACCAGGCATCAGCACCACGTGCTTCTGACTTCACTACAAGTGCCCTATTGGAAAGTTATTTTTGCATTTTAGGGTCACCAAACAATAGGGTATTGTCACAGGTCCCTACGTCTTGAAGTGGAAAGTGCTTTTTCATACAGCAATTTCATGTTGATATTTAACTTTGATTATTTTTTGACGTGCACAGTAATGAGTCCACAGATCAATTATCCTTTAGATTATGGTGTTAAGCATATTCATTTTTATAACATTTTTCTAGTCAGACAGCTAGCTTGCTTTGAGCTGAAGACTTTGAACCTGCCTGATTTGAAAGAGAAAATAAAAAGACCATTTCATTACCACATACATATGCCTGCAAAATGTTTGAAGTCAAGACTGGAGCTTTTCAGGGTAGTAAAAAGCTGCAGGGATAAATAGGCAAAATTAAAGTACTATTAAGGTAATAGTAACAGAAGCCTTACCGTCCAGGTGACTTGAACCGTCGTGGGTGTTAGCACAACAGGATTATGCAGTCGTACAATGACGTCTCCCAGTTCTTTCTGTACCTGCCTGTGATCCACACCTTGTGCTGGTGGGCTGATATCTGCCAGGCCAGGCACACACATGAAAGCATTATTTTAATGAAAAGAGTTGTATAAGGCATCAATAAGAATTACTGAATAGCTTAATGACCTGACTTATACACCCTTTATAGTACTGTTTTTAAAACAATATGGTACTAAGGTTTAAATATGAACTCCAAAGCATATCAAGTAATGCAAACGAACCATTCACCTTTTCACCTTTAGCTACTTAGGAAATAATGAAATATAAAGATGTTTAAATGAGCATTCGGACTCGATGGCAAAGTTTTCTCAGATATATTCACTAGTTCCAAAATACTCAGATAATAATAATGTTGCCCAGATGTTTGGAACCAAATTGGTTAGTATAATTGAAGAAAATGAACATGGTTTGTTTTTTTTTATTTTCTTAGATCATGCATGACACTAAGTCATTATATGTTTCCAAACTTTCACTAAGCTTCCTCTCCCCACATACCATGCACACAAGAAACCAAACACTAAAAAATAATCATTTTCTTCTGCAAAGCAAATTTTCCCTTTACAACTACAGATAATCTAGGAAATATAGGAAATCTAGTGCAAATATGAAAAAAAGAATTTCTGATCTAATAAAAGGCCAGCAAAAACACTCTACCACAAAAATTTTTTCTTCAAGATTATGTCAAAGATTCCTTCAAAGTTTGCAGGGAAATTATTTCTTCTAGTCAAAACCTGAAGGAATTTGATCATTTAGTATACATCTATGGAAAACTGTTGACTCCATCTCCAGCACAACATGTGAATATGTGTCAGGAAATGGAGAAGGAGCTATGCAATGTGTCTTTTTGGTGACAGTTCCTGGAAATCATCATTTTCTGTTACATTACACCAAAAGGAGTTCGTTGAGCTACAGCTACCACCTAGCTAATATATCACCATAGCACGCTCCTTCCCTCCAAATTAGACAGAAATGAAGGTACTTTCTAGGAGCCAGTGAAGTCTGGATCCCTTCAATGGATCCTTCAAGAGTCTTACAACATGATTCTTGGTCAACAGTTACAGATGCCCTCACTATGTCAATTGCCTATGTGGATTGCATAATGCCGCTTAGAAATAGATATACTGATTATTTCTGCCGCAATTTGCTTGTAATTTTTCCAGAAGAGAAGAATTGAAACACAAGCACAGATTATATTCAAAAAGGCCCAATACATTATGGCCATGCCTGTCTAGACATCCGTGAATTCTGCTTGGTTTTCCCATGGGATTCACTAGCCAAAGACGCTTTCCCTCTTTTTGGGTCAACATCACATATCCTTGTGAAGAGAATACATACATAAAAGGGTTTTTTCCCCCTCTGGTGGTTTTAGATATGGGAGTATGCAACATGTAGTTTCTTTTTATCTTCTAAATATTATTAAGAAGAAATAATAGTGATCTTAAAAATGAAAAATTTAAATATAACAACTGAGTTTGAATCACCTGCCTCTAGATTTTGAAATAAAGTAGGTTTGGATCATCAATATTTCAGCTTCATAATTCTGGATTGTTATGGGTTCTGAACCACCAATAAACACTATTACCACAGGCTTCTACTGATATTCAAATGAAAATGGCTCCATGTGTCTCCATGGGGAATATAATCCAAATACGGATGTCAGTGAAGGAGCTTATCTAGCAAATTACGCCTATTCAAAGTGATCATGAAACTGAGAAATATAATAAAATAAATCTGTAAGACAGCAACTCAGACTGGTTTACAGGACAATAATTTATGCTGCTGTCCACAAAAAGTGATGGTCCTTTGTACAAAATACCTATAGCTACCTATGGATACATTTTAGGTTAAGTTATCATGTGGTTTACAACCAACAAAGTACCTATATTCCCTCTGGAAAAAAGACATTATTACGTAGTGTGTTTGTGTGAACTGTATTTCACCATTTTAAAGAGACTAGAAGTAAGGGAATAACATGGGCTAATAACAGTAAGAAATTGTTATCAAGATGTACATGTGGAATTCTGTTTTCTGGTATGTACACTTGGAAAAACATGCATATGTGACGCTCATAGTGTAATGTCTTATAATGTCATTTTCACATTACTAGGAGACTCCTGATGGAAAAGGATATTGCCAAGTACTGGAATAATAAAATCATGACTCAAGTAAAACTAGCTCAAAACATTATATTCTGATCACAGTTAAGATGTCTTTAAAATTAAATTGGTTATACTTTTTCTCTAACCTCTCTTTTAACAGCTTCCAGTGAACTCACTATTAGTTGCTAGCAATTTAAATTCCAGGCATAGGATTATACAGAGTTTCTTTAAAGTGTTTCTTAATGGTTTGGCCTGTTAATAATCCAAACAAGAAATCAACTCTTTTCTTAGAGTAATTACTGATTTCTCTGTCCTTATTTGATGTAAGTCATCTAAGGTAAACCTTTTGAAAGTACCTGATTGTCTACTTGTAGTCCACTGGTGAAAATATGCATAAAATCCTTTTACTTGTACTTGTTATACTTAACACCAGGAAATTAAATGCTCAGTTATTAAAGTTACCACAGACACCTGTTGCAAATTAATATTATATAGCACTGTTATAGCTGCTTTTTTCTTCCTCCATGGCCACTGTGAATAGGCTTTCTACTGTGTGTCAGCTTCTTCTGTGAGCCTGAATTGGATTCAGGCATAATTAGAAATCACATCAAAACATTATGTTCATTTTCAATTGATTTTATGATTTAATTCTATTAAACTGCAGGCTTGCAAAGAAGCTATAAATCCTGTACATGTCTCAGTGTGCTTGACTGCTAAACAGCTTCTGGAAATGGAAGCTGCAACACATGCTGTAGCTAATTAAAAGACATGTTTTTACTGAAATCAAATTGCTTGTCAGTATGTCAGATAAAAAGTCTATACTTGACACTCAAATGCCAAACAAAGTTGTTTTTTTAACTAGGTGATAAGTTATGCAGACTAAAAGCCTGGTGCAATGAAAAACATGAGTCACCCTGTAATAATGGGAGAGTAAGAAGAAGAAGAAAACTTGTGATACTCTGTGGGTAGTCAAGCTGTGAAATCCCTGCCCAACTCCTTCAGCTTTTCAGAAAGCAGCTCTGTTCCTCCTTTTACAGCAATTATTACTATTTTGAGGGGATAATTATTGAGGACAGATTTATTTAGGAATAGACTGGGATGAGAGAGGCTAGATGTCACGGTTATATGATAAAGAAATACCACCCTACTCTTGTTTCTCTCTTTCCATCTAGGACCAGCAAAGGACCCAAACCACTTACACATGCTGGAGGCTGACACAGGATGCACTCTCCATGTACACTTTTATAACTTCCATAAATGGATGCAATCTCATTCTAAATTAACTGTGAGAGGAGCTATTATTTCGGGCTCGAAAAAAATATAATGACAAAAAATTATTAATTCCTATATTCCAACCTGTTTAACACAGAACTACACTCTTTAATGAAGTATTTGAGCAGCGTGCTGTCAAAGACAAAAAAATCCATGCTGTGAAGAGGAATTTGTTTGGGATAGTTATACACCGTTAGAGCTTGATGTAATGTGAACAGAATTCAATAGTCAATTCAATAACAATGGAGGATCACAGCTATCAGTTGTATCACCACCCTATAAATGATGGATTTCACTTCAGCCTTCTCTCTTGGTTTGTGCAGTGGATTAATATAAAGAATTCAGAAATCTAGGTATATAAATAGAAGACCTGTACTTTTCTCAGAATAACTTCAAAATATTCTTAGCATGAAGATGCCTTAATTTACATGAATTCTCTGCCTAAATGTTGGACCAGATTAATACGTTACAGATATTTTCTGTAATTCTTTTGATTAAACCTAATGCTAAACACAGTGTATGCCTATCATAAGCACTTGTTGTTATAGTATATCTCTGTTGAGATACATATAGAATAATGGAGAAGAAGTAAGGACGTGGAGAGAAAAGATACTGAGGAGATCATGGTATTCAGAGCAATTTTCAGAATAGCGTGGGTAACTCCCAGGACTTTCAATACAAATCAGGCATCAAGGAGCACACTAAGCCTAAGTGAACGGCAAACCAAAAGGTCTAAAATGTACCAAGGATTAAAGAGCTAACCTATATCTCCTAAGCTCCAGATTGATACAGCAAACATTGGACTATTTTTTATCTGTATTGGTTAAGCTCAATTCATGATTCCTTCAGTCAGAGTGCCAAAGCCAAATGGCCAGACTGACCTATTGATCAATTCTGAGTTCCTTCTTTCTATTTTAACTCAAGCACGTAAGCCTTAATAATTACTGTTACCTTGTGTTCGGACAGGATCTGACATAGGGCTGGGATCACTCAGACCTTGTGAATTGATAGCTCTCACCATAAACAGGTAGATTGTATTGGGGCGCAGTCCTCTCACAGTGTAGAGAGTGGTCTTCACATGGTTAGCCACTGTTTGCCAGCTATTGCTCACAGATTGACTGCAATGAGAAGAGGATTGAATATTATAGACTAATGCAAAAGAAAAATAAAGAAGTGAAAGGACTCTTGTAACCCTATATCATGTCTAAGCACAGGAAAAATTAGTAAAAGCAGGGTAAAAGACCCAAAACTTGTTTCAGTTAACTCATCAAGATGGGATAAAAAAATAACACAGCTGTCAAAAGTATTTCTCCTTTCAAGAGAAGCAAAAGCTTTTGCTATCTCTCTAAAATAAATATCTGCAAAAGGAAAGTGTGAAAAGCTGTAAAATAAATTTGAATGATAAATAGGCCACTCTTGAACATAAACCTTAGCAAAGAAAATCCTGTTAAAAGATAATTTTCTATACTGCTAAGTAAATTATGTCAATGAATTGCCATTGGAAGGAAAGTATTCTCCTTGAACTAAAGTCATACTCAAAGTTACAAAAAAAAGGTCTGAAAACATGCTTGTAAATGAAGGAAGGTATATGATTATTTTTTCTGTCACTACACTTTGCACTGGACATTATTATAATTAGATTACAATCCACTGCATGAAGAGATTTCAAGTGTGATTGTTAAAACAGCTTTTAATGAAAATGCCTGGCTTTTGTTAAAGTTCTTGATGGGATGCCATTAAAGCTTATCTAGGGTGAAATATCACAAAAGTTTAAAGAGAAATTTTGATTTTATTGTGCTTTGTTGTATAGCATTGATTAAAAAACCCCTTTAAATATATTAAAAGGAAAAAGAAAATGGAAAGCTACGTTTCATATTGTTTCAATTGTTTCATTCATGTAATGCATAAAGGATAGTACAAGTTCCAGAACAAAACCAACAGTTTGTACACACAGTAATGTTCTTTGCATATCAATATAGCAGGTTGAAGCATTATCACTGTAACTTCTTAAATTTGCATGCATATGATTTTGACAAATTCTTTTATGAATTTTAATTAAAATATGAACTATATTATTTGTCATTTGATGCACATCTTGATTAAGGAAAACATTTAAGAATGTGCACATATTTAAGTGGAAGCATATATTACCGATACACGTGACAGGTATGGCCCATGCTTAAACAAATTTGCTGAACTGGGGCCCAGGAGTTCTTTCCTATCATGTATTAAGTGCTGCTGTGTGGAAGGGAGCAGCAGTTCTCTTCAACCTCAGGCTGCAGGATGAAAACCTAAATTACCAACGCTAGCCTTTTCAGTTGAAAGTTTTAATCTACCTAAAACAGTAAAAAATAGAAATGTGAAGTGCTATCACTCTTTAAGAGGTGCTGCTTTAACAAGAACAGGAAATAAAATATGCAGAGAGGCTTCAGGATTATTTTCAGATTATTTGCACTATGATAGTCATAACACCAGCCCAAATGATTTCACCTGCAACATTCCCACAGGAGATTCTGTCTGATCATTAATGCTAAGGAAAAAGTAACAAATAATGACTGCGTTGTCCTGTTATATTACTGTTGACCTGAAGAAATAGTTAGATGCTCCTCTAATTAAACACTTAGAAAAAAAGTGATAAATTGAAAAAAAATCAATTTAAAAAATAAGAATCAATGCCTGCCATAGGAGTTGAGTCTTTTAATGAACTTCTAATGATACTTGTGGAGTCCAAAAGAACACCACAATACCAGAAGAACAGCTGGTACCAGGGTTTAAGCAAAATTAGAAAGGAAGATTAAAAGTGGAATAATTCACATACCTAAAAGCCTCAATGATATATGCACTAGCTGGTAGGCTTCCAGGGGTCCCTGGTTGCCAGGACAGGGTGACACTGTTCTTAGTAACATCAGTGACCTGAGGTTTGGATGGTGGCCCAGGGAGGTCATTTATATCGTAATTTTTACTGACTGTTGCTCCACCGGATTCTGTAAGGGGCAAATACAAACCAATTAGTTTTTATCCTTGATTGCGTAAATTTGATCAAAGTAGAAGATTAAAAGGAAAAATGTGCCAAATATCTGCAAAATCAGCATAACTAATGTTCTGAATCTGTAAAGAACTAAGTCAACAATTGCATTACCACGTATATTTTTGGATGAAGAGCTATCATTCTTTAGGTACATACTGAAAGAAAAAACCTGCAAAACTCAAAAGGTTATATATAAATATATAAAAAAGAAAAGAAAGAAAACAAAAAAAGCCCATCTTTGCTGAAATCTACATAAAATATCAAAACCTCAGCTACTAAAAGGCTGATAAAGTTCCTATATCCAGATCAACTCCAGTACTCACAGAGAGCACATTGGACTTTGATAGGACTCTGTGTAGGCATAATAGTTTTCTTGTCCAAGCCAATTACTGGATGAATCCACAGTTTATTAATACTCCCATTTAGAAGAGTTATAGCTTACTGCTGTCACTGGAGACAAATACAAATTGTTGCAATGTCAATGGGCATTTAAAGATAACGGCAACGAAATGCACAGTGTATGAAGGAACCCAGCCTTCCTGCCTAAAACTTCTCCATCTCAATCCCAGAACTTCTAGAACTGATTATTTGACTCAGATTGCTCTAATATAGTCTACATTTTCATTTTATGCCAACTGAAAAACAGTCGGACATCGCTTACCTGTCACCTCCAGCACAGCACTCCAGGATGTCTCCCCACTGGAACTTGTAGCAACGCAAGTGTAAGTCCCAGTATCAGACAGCTAGACATAAAAACCAGTTAAAGACAGTTTTAACAATGTTTTAGAATCAGCTGACAGAGTTTACTCTAATTTTCTTTTTTCTAAATGTTTCTTGGTAAGAAGGACTTAGCCTACATTTTACACCAGACTAGAGGGCGCTGGACATTTTCAAACAATCATTTAATGGTGGCTTACTTTTAGAGAACTATAATAAGATTACTTGCTTCTAATACTTTTCTAATTCTAATTTTCATATTGCTAATGGTACCAGTACAGCATGTAAATGCTACAGATTGGATGTTTTAGACAGTGTCAATCTCTACATTGGTTACAACAAATGCAGGTGAAATCAGGTAACAGTGTAAAAGCAATTAACTTTGTAGAGGATAAAATCTCACCAGTCATTATCCCATGACCCAGAGATACAGCTTCCAGTGCCAGGAAGGCTGTGACATCATCTTAGACTCTTATGACTGATGAAGTCATTGCTATACAGGACACCACACATACGAATAATGTGGCTGAGATTTAACAGTGGTTCTCTCTACACAGACAGTCCTCCAAGCAATTTTCAAATAGCAAAGTTAAATGAGATCCTATACCATGCTTACCTTTCTTCTGTTTCACATGGGATTTTATTTCAGGCTTGCAAGGCACTTTGGCAGCAAAAAAAATGTATTTGTATAAAACTGTTGTGATTCCCTTGTCAGTTCATATATTTCAAATTTATTTGGGGAAACCATTTTGAATTATATTGTCAATATTAATCTCATTGCTGTATAAATTGTCTTACTGGAAAATTTGCCAAAGGTTTTGCTATTCCTTACTTAAAGTAAAAATTTCTGAGACAGGAACTAGTGAAGACTACAGAGACGGATGGAAAAGGTTAACTTTACAAAACACAAAATATGCAGAGAAGCCCTCCTACCACTATGTATAAAACATGGTAATCTGGAGATGGAAGCACAAGAAGGAAAGTGCTGACTCTAGTGATAAAGGAGAAGAATTATATTCACCATCAGATGACTTGACGGAAATAGGACAGCATCCAAGAAGCTTTATTGAACTTCAAGGAATTGTAATGGGTGTTCTGCTAAATGCAGATTGGCACTATAGCAAATGTGCTTATACCTCACTCTTCAAGAAGAATGTCAAGGCAAATAAGTGAGATGCTCTTTAGATTACTTGTGGATATAAAATTTAATTGATTTTTAACTTTGTCACGTTTGAATTTTGTTGGTATTTTCTTCAGATACACTGGGAATGCAACGTACCCTTCTTAGGGGCAGGTAGCAACTGATTAATGCTGGTTTAATTGCCTGAATGAGCATAACTTGCATTTTAGGAGACGCTTTTTCCGTGAAATACAAGCAATAATTAAACCCCTCTGACAATGGCTCAGAGACTCAAAATACAGAGGTACTGCTGATGAAATGAGAAAGACTCTTGAAAGCAGACAGATTTTCCAGAGGAGAGCACCTTATAGTATTCTGAAGTAGTTTTTTATTTTGCTTCCTCCGAGCTTTTATTAAATATATAATTCTTCATTATGTGATAATGGAGAATATTTCTCAAGGCTATGGTTCTCAACTTCATTTGTGTACTACCGTGACAGATGGCATAGGGCATACTCAATGATGTGGTATACACAACAGTGTAACTTGCAGAAGGCAACCTCAACATACAAAGCAAGCTGGAGATATGCTGCCTCTTGCAAGTTATGGTGAATTATCTAACTACCAGATTGTAGGTGGATTAGATACAGTCACAGTGTATTGATTATTCAATTATTTATAATTTTTTTTTTTTTTTTTTTGTGGTATGGTAAAAACAACGGGGGAGGTGAATGGAAAATCTTTGCTATCCAGTAAAATAAACAGTTTTCTTCCTCAGTTATTCCGGGTGTCTAAATCCAGCAAGGTATACTTCTACAGAGCAAGAGGGAGTTTTCCTTCAGTGTTGACCTGTCTGAAAGAGTCCTGAGTGAGTGATGTATGTGAGTTTTTGGTTGTCTTCTTCACAGCAACTAGAAAGATTGGCTCATCAGTAAAATCTCTAGGTTCATGTTTATGACTGTGGCCCATGGTTCACTGTGACTGCTGCAGACTCCTGAATAATTTGATTTATACACAGAAAGAGAATTACATGGCAGAAGAGGATGGTCTCAAAGGCTTAAATAGTAGTGGCTCATCTTTACCCATATCTTGAAATATTTTATGATTGTAATAGTGATTATTAATTGTGAGGGGAGTAGAAGACTGAGGACATGTGGTGATAAATATTAATTTGTTTTGAACTTGGGTATGTAAGTCTGCTTGGACATACTTTGTGGCCATTTTTTGCTTAGGAAGTGTTGCTAGTCCTTGCCCAGGTAGACATGAGACAAATGTTAAACATTCCAGATTTAAATCTATATTTAATTCATAAAAATTGCATGGTACAGGAGAAATCTGTTTTTTATGGTTGTGTGTGGTTTTTGTTCTTAAGTCTGAGTCAAACAGTGCACATGACTGCAATCGAGGGGTTTATAAAAAATGTCTTTCTGAGCCTTTAGGAAAAATTGGTTACTAGTGAATGAGCCACTTAAGGATCAATAAAGCTTTGTGTCTTTCAAAACCACACTCACTACTAATACTGTTTTCTTCTCCCCTTGCAAGCAATTTTTTTTTTTCCTTTTGTTTACAGACCTTGTGCCTCTAACAGCGAGATTAATGCACTGGCACGATTCAGAACCAATTTCATTGTTTGCATAGCTGCATGCAGACAGGTATCCCAGGAGCTTCTGCCTCATGGACACTCCACAGAAGCCTATCACTGATGCCTGAAAGTTTGTTTGAAATCACTAAGCTTCCACCTTTAATTGCTGCTTTCCAACACTACTGGGGAATCTTGACTATTCAAGCGCACTCTTTAATCCAGCTCTACAGGAAAAATGCATTAACCTTCGTGGCCTAAACCTGCCTTCAGTCCAGGGAGGAAGGATAAATTGTTTACTCAAAGAAAGCTAGCATAAATTTTTTAATAAATTCCATTTTGTTCCAAGGAAGTTAACAATGCGTCTACCATTACTGATGAGATGGTATCAGAAAACAAAACTGCTCTTTATGTCTTGTCCTCAGTAGCTATGTTGACTGACATTTTTTTGGATGGTAAAGCTAAGTACAGAAATTACTGCTGATGAAATTAAGTGGTTTCTGAAACTGTCTTTAAGTTCTTGATAAATAATTACATTTCCCTTACTATTTTTTTATACATGCTTGTCCACAGACACACAAACAAATACTCATTTTTATCTTTGAACAAGGAAAAATTGAAAGCTCAAGCAAAGATTAGTGATGCAATGTTTCTCAACAAAATCTGACATTATACTAGTTGGAATATTATAAGATTTCTTTGTACTTTTAAGATATCGTATTATCTCATGTGTCAAAATGTAAATATTATGATAGGCATTTCATTTTGAATAGAAATCCCTCTGCATATGACTGCATGTATGTTACAGTATTAGTTGTCTTCTCCAATCCACAGCCTTTTGGAACATCTCCAGCAAGCGTAACATTGGAATAAATCAGCCAGCTCAAGACTGCCAAGACTCATTGATGGAGAAACTGCATGGCCAAACCCTGATGAACTCCAGAATCGCTTGCTAGCACAATAGCTCCTTGGAAAATTATGATCAGGTGTTGAAAATGAACTGCTCTAAGTTTTAACAGAGACAACAGACCAATGGTGTCATGGTAATACCGATTGAAAAGGTAAGGAAAGCTTGTCTTTTTACATGTCTAACCATCCCCAGCTCATGTGCTTTATTGCAACAAACGTAAGATTTTAAGTATCAATTCTGTTTTTAGGGATTTCTAACAGAAATATCTGATGCTAGTTTGGCTCTTCTTTCCCCCACCCCCCCTTCCCTATTTTTGAAATAGGATGTGGACTTGGTGAGAATTTCATAGTAAAAGAGACAACTAAGTTAATTTTGAAGACAACAGACAGCAAGACAGCAGAGCTGCTTGAGGCACACACCAACAGCTCAAGACTAGCCCTGTACCACTTACAGCACTTGTTCTGTTATCGCTACTCACCCGCAGAGTTTTAATCTGAAGCGTCCCCTGATCCTGTATGGATGTTCGAGGGTCTCTGCCCAGGAAGGTGAATCCTTCTTTTAACCAGCTGATGACAGGAAGGGGGTCGCCGGTTGCCTTGCACTTCAGCAAAGCTGTCCCATCCACTGCCAGTGTCTGATTGACTGGCCCCTGGAGGATGATGGGCGGAGGCCTATCTGTCAAGACTGAACAGTGACAGACGCATTGACATCCACACCTTTAAAGGTCCTCTGCTGCAGTTAGCCCTTTCCTTGACAGAGTAACAATTTTAACAGACTCATTTAAATAGCCTCTACAAGACTAAAACCATTATTTTTGGAAGACCCATAGATACATGTTAACTGGTTAACATTAACTGGCATATTTGAAAAACCTTGTTGTAAGAATTTTATTTCACTATTGCAGGATAACTCCTAGATATATAAACTTCTGTTAGCAAAGATCATCAGACTCATTTGATTAAGACAGGATGAAAATAAAGACCTTGACCCAGAAAAGAACTGAGCTACATCTCTTATTTCTTCCGATTTAGGAAAGCACTTAAAGGACATGTCTAATGTCACATCAAAATATGCTTAATTGCTTACCCTATTTAGTTCAAAGTGAAACACTGTAGCCATTCTAGCATGAGTACCGACGCCCACTCATGCTCAACTTGCAAATTTTCATGAACAAAAATATCTGACAATAATACAAAACATTTTCATAATCTCAGTGATCTAAATGACTGTACCATTCTTACCAGTGGAGAAAAGTTCAAACTCAATCAAGCCATTTAACAGCTTACTTATCAAATAATTTCATCACCTTTTAAAGCCATGTAGTCTCTTAATTTTTTCCCCTAATAATTTACATTTGCGTGCTTGAAATACTGCTTAAAGGACTCTGTAACCAGTGAGCGAGCACATGACGGTGTATAAACCTCATTTCATGACCAGTGGGATATCTTGAAGACGAGGTAAAATGCTCATTTTGCTTTTCTTGAAAGACCAATTTTTCATAACTAATTCTGCTATTGAACCTATTCTCTGAGTCATCTATTAAGCAGTAAAATACAAGTCTTTTTTTCTAAAGAATGTGTTTATACAAAATGAATGTGAAATGCTTGAATATAAACAAGGCTATGACTCCTGCATAAAATCAGAATAACAGAACCAAGAATTCATTTTTATATATTTACCTGCCACACTGCTGCTGTTTTAAATCTTTGAGCAACTGAACAATTATATGATTGGTATTAAATATTGTAACAGGCATGATTAGCTACTAAACCAGTGTAAGTTAGCCTGCCTCCACTGATGTCGAGTGAGTTTGAATCATTTATTATAGCTGAGAATCTGGTTCATTGTAGTCCACACACAACACCTCACTCTAACAATGAAGTGAAAATAAATTACTGTGAAGCAATATGATTTCTGTTGCATTCAAGCCGTTTGAGATGCAAACCTCTGGAACCTTCAACTGATCCAAAGAGCTTTCATTACACTATTTAATAAATAAAAAATATTAGTGGTACATTTTATGCCTAAAATAATTGTTTCTGAAATTGTAACATTGCAAAAATACTAACTACCTTCTTTTGTTAACAAGATACATAAAGGATAGAGTCATTAATATTAGTAGCACCTTGGAGTGTGAGTTCGTCACATTTCTTGAAATTGAAAACAGAAAGTCAGTACAGATTATTTATTAACACCGGGAACGTGAAAGCTATTTTGGAAATTCTGAAATATCACCCACTGAATGCAGAGATAGGAGAGGAAACACTATATTACAAGAAAAGAGAAAATGTAATGCATTTTCACCTTGATAGGATTTTTTTCTCATTGAGGTTCCTTATGACAGTTCAGCAATTTGGTGAAACAAAAATTAATCTCAGCTCATATGTACTATCATCATACCTGCAGCATGAATGTATTCAAATGAAAACTTAGCTGTGTAAGTTTTCATTTAGATTTAACGTAAACCAGCAAATTCCAGTTTTCTAGGTAGCTAAAAATTAAGGAAAAAGAATTACTTAAGTTGCCAAGTATTCCATTGCAGTTATTTGCTGCCTCTAATTGCCTTCCATATGTGTAGTAATGTAGGTATTTTCAAAACCTACTGCATTACAGATATTGTTCTTTGGCTTGTAATTAGTTTTTTTACAGCCGGAATGAGGAGCTCATAATCCTTTAAATAGCTCTGATCAATAGTGTAATTGAAAGTCTCCTGGCCAGAAGGAATCTTCATTTTCAAGGGTGTTATGGGTGAAAGACCACTACAGGTTTCCATGACACTAAGGCTAAAGGTTAAATGAACACTTAGGGTTTCCACTGATCTGTGAACGACTGTATTGTCTTCACAACTATGACTTGTAAATCTTCTCTAAAATGTGTATACGTGCTTGCATTCTTACTATACAGGTCTCCTGTACAAGGATCCAAAACTCAGTTCGAGGTTAAAAAAGATATAAGCATTCTGAAGAACAGAGAGATAATGAAAAATATCCACAAAAAGGTTGGGGGGGTTGTTGGGTTTTTTTACAACATTTTTTTTTAATTTAAATTTTACGTCATTTTCTCCTAACAGGAATTTTTTGTATCCATTTTATAGCAACATTTCGTGTAGCTAAAATATATTTGCATAGTAAAAGAGAAGTTGATTCCAAAATTAATTTATTTTTTTAAAAATGAAACTATTTGTCAACAACCATATACTCACATATTCTGGTAACTGAAAAATTATCAGATTCCTTTTGTGATAAAATGCAGCTTAAATTTGGAGCAGATTATCAGAAAAGAACAGATTCTATTTGTTAATGAAGAGTTTATTCACTACAAATCCAATTTGGATTAACTGAAAACATGTATAAATTTGGGTGGAATTCGATCAAATTACAGCAGGAAACTAAAATAAGAGCATGACAAAATTAAATCTTTACTTTGGCACTTCCAAAATCAACATTTCAAAAGTTTTCCTGGTGAATTAATGGAGAAAATCAGACACAGGTCATGAAATTCTCATGATGAACACTAGTAAGATAGGGCAGGGTGCTCTCTTGAGAGGTGGAAAAGCAGAGACCAATCTTTCCTCTGACTTTTTGCAGAAGAGCCTCACAGGAGGCTATGAAGTTCTTCTGAATCTCTCCTGTTTGAAACTGTCACACTTGCTATAAAATATGTAATATACATTTTATCAGGGACAGGAATCATGGTGTCCAGATTTCCAGATGAGTAAACTGTGAGTGATATTAAATTCTTCCAGAAGGGTTCGAGAGAGACATATCCCAGAATATTCAATAGACATATAGTCAAAAAATTGCAGAGGAGTCTGGGAAAAATGCCTTAAGTATCTATTTCAAATCAGTGGAGAGGGAGCTGTTGAGGTATGCTGCCAAGTCCTTCTCTCTCTTTTTTTTTTTTAATTTTTTTTTACATCTGTTCTGAATTCTCCTTATAGGTCCAGCCTTTTGCTTTCATTCAAATGCCCAGAAATGTGATCTTTTTAATTAATTGAATATCCTAAACCATTTCATTCTTATGTTGCCATCCACTGGGGGAGGTTAAGCTTGCTTCTCCATTCCAATACTCCTCCTAACCTGCGACTGCTGGGTAAACTAGCATTGGCAAGCTGACCCTACAGTTGAGCATGCAGTGGTCGAAATTTTTGGTAATAAATATAAATGATGACTAGATTAGGAGAAACTGAGTTCTTCTCAAAAACACTCTGTGCAAGATCAATAAATTTATGGAATAAATTACTAATTGTAAAATATTCTTTTTATCTTGAGCACAGACTAAGATGGAAGCATTTGGTTTATTTGCATGATCTGTCATTTTAAGACTGTGAGCTGCATATTCATCTCTTAAGTTTGAAAGGATTGCTAAGATTGTCTCAATTTTTAAAATGATTTTGCTTTTCCAGATGTGCGTTAGACAGTGGATTATATGATAGCCTTTCAAGAAAATACAAGATTTGAATTTCAAATACACTGAAGGTTCTTAGCACAGTCCATAATCAGCAAAATTATCACTCAACTCAGCACATTTCATCACAGCTAGTAATCTCTTCTCATGTGAACACTTGAGTTAAAAATATTTCCAGTAAAGACTTGTAAGTGCAAAAATGTAACAACTGAAACACTGCTATATATGGTATAATTAAGCACTTGTTTTTCTGCACATGACATATGTTTTCATTCTGTATTGGAACTTCAATTGGATCTAAATTACTCTGGATCAAACAAAAATGTGTTCAAAATGAAAAAGATGGCTCGCCACTATTATTAAATCATTAACCAAACAGAAAAATTCTGGGCTATGAAGTAAAACTGAAATCACCAGCCAAATACTAGAACACTAATGCTTAAGTATATAGCTAGCATGCACAGTGTTTATCTTTTATTATATTTTTAAAACCATTAAATTAGATTTCCCTACTGATAAAAATCATTAGCTTCCATAACTTCTGCTCAGCATCAACCAAAACAGATTATTTAGACATTTATGGTTAACTTCCTAACTGAAAGCAATTAAAGAAATATCTGTGATCTAATGGTACATTTATTTATATAATCTCAGTTCCACAATATTGTTCTGGCACTTTTCTCCTGACCTCACCTGCCCTTTGACTCATGGATGAAATGGTATTTCTATAAAGCAACCTCGTATTATTTCATAATGATCCTGCTGACAGTGGGTTCTGGAAAGCGTTTGAAGAACGCAGGCCTTGCATTCCTTGAGCAGCAGAGCCACCAGCTAATGCTTTCACTAGCAATGTGGAATGCACACGGCCTTTAATTAGAATTAATTGTAGTTGAGTTTGTATTTTAGCAGGGACGCCTTTGTGAGCTTTCTGTTCACTTGTTAAATAAACTAACAAAAATTCCAAAGAGGTCATTATTTTTACGCCTTCCCCCCCGCCCAAGAAATAGATAAAGATGGACCATAGGCCTTGTCTGTCAAATGGAAGAATTTCTCATCACTAATATCCTTGAACCTGATTTGATCTTCTCGGCCCCTGTTGCAGTAAACCTGTACAGCATCAGCAGGTGTAACCATTAACAGCTCAATGTCCTTTTAGCCAATGTTTGTGTGTCCTATTTATTCCAATCACAGTCATGGCACTAAGTCAGGCAGCACTATGGACAGATATTAAAAAATACTGCCTTTCCATTAATTTTAAATGACCTTTTAATCTACATTTAAATTTGAATTGAATGAAAATGCATCATTTTGTCATAGACCATGAGAGAAAGGGCTTGAAGAGACTGCAGAGTGAAGGTTAGCCTTTAGTCTCCAGAAACTACTTTACAGAAAAGCAATGTGCTTGTAAAGATGCAAGGATAAGGCAGAAATTATCACCCCTTGTCATAAAAATATAGACAGCTTTTGGAAAACAAAGAAAAGGCATCAAATTAATGCTCAAACCTCTATAACATGAGCCTGAACCTCTCTACCTGTCACTTGTGATGAATATGCTCTTGTGAAAAGCCAGATTATTCAGAATTAGACATCTTTTCAAACTTTCATGGTGCAGGCAGGTCTCTAAGGGAACAGTAAAAGTAGACCTCTGCATATAACAACAGTTTTAATGGCAAAAATTCATCAAAGTCTGTCAGGAGATATTTAATGAGTCAGTTAAGATAAGGAATAATGATGCCGGGGAATGCCACAATCTCCTAGAGGAGAGGAATATAAGAGGAATTCTGTTGTTTTCTTCACTGACACTAAAGGATGCAAACTGCCTTCTATCCACAATGGGATGAAAAGGGATATCAACAGGATTCCTGACACATGAAAAGGATTCATGTTTGTAAATGGAGTAAGGTAAGCTTCAAGGCAGGATAACTTTCAAACCCAAAATTTTGAAATGGAAAGCATCAAGACATATCATGTACTGCTTTGCTTTGCTTTGCTTTTCCTGAAAAACCTACCTACATATTTACATGTCTCTTTTAACATCTAACCATACTGAGAAGTTCTTAGAACACAGCTCTGAGGTAAGGAAATATCTTGGTGCCTTATTGCCACAGGGACTAAAGTGCTACATGTTGTACCTGTTCTAAACCAACAGTACTCCAGTAAGTTCAAGGCAACTGTGTTAATTTAATTGAGCTAAGGGCACATCCCCAAACTAGCTGCCTAAGGTAATACTGAAGGCTTGGATTGAGGTGGGAATTGAGCCTGTTTTTTCTGCACCCTAGTTCACTGCTTTAATCACAAACCTATTCATTCTTCACAATATTTTTTGCAGTCCTGTCTTAGGTTTAGTGAACCGAGAAGCTTGCGTTCTCACCAACCCTATTCTAAGCTGGTTTGTACCTTGCTTGTATTATTAAGGAACCTCCAGAAAGCAAGAAAAAGGCAAACTAGACCTCGATGTCTTTTTGATACCACACAGTATTGCACAGAGACCATTTTTTATTGTATTTTCTGTAGAAATGTGTCTGTTTAGTTGTATGAATTATGTAATCTCATATGCCTGCCTTTACACTACTTTCAAAATACTTTTGACAGGAAAAAACAATAGGAATTTCTATAGCTCACCATCAGTAACCTCCAGCTGAGCCTTTGCTAAAATGCTTCCAGCAACCGTCAGTGCTTGACAAATGTAGTAGCCTGCATCAGACCGCTGAATGTTGGCAATAGTGAGGTCTCCGGTTGGTGACACTGAATACCTGCTGTTGGGTTGTAGAGGCTGGTTTGGGAAGAGTAGATTCTGCAAAGACAATTCACCTCACATCAATTCAAAACACAAAAGCACCACTTTTGCCTCAGCTAGAGAGACAATGATTTTTCCATAAAAGTATTGTATATAAACTAGAAGAAAAAGTAAGTGTGGTTATGACTTTATGAACACATAGAGCTAGCTTTCCCTGCCTTAGGCAACTTGCAGTTTAAATTAGAAACAGCCCTTTGACAGCACACAGTGGTGTGCTCTGGCTGGGGATCTAGGCGAAGAGAAATTTTCCAGCAATCTCACTTGAGTGTTTCGTACTTGTGACACATTCATCTTCATTCTGAATTTAATTGTAATAATATACTTAGTTGGCTGTCAAACCAGAAGGGCATAAAACTACAGTAAACATTAGAAAACTAGCAGAAAGAATTGCATCCTGGAGACTCGAGGGAAGATAGCGCTATTATTTGGCTGTGAATATGTACTGGGCAAAGGAGATAGTAAGAGTGTGGCACAGAAGGAAAACTGTGAGGAAGATACAAACAGGTCATAAAGTAGGAGAAGCTGGCAGAGCATAAGATCTTAAAGGAGAAGTAAAAGGAAATAAAAACTGAGATATACCAAAGGAAAAAGCAGCATGGAGCCTTGAGGGTGAAGGGAAAGGATGTAAATCAGATGTGGAAATCATCAGAGAGAAAAAATAATTTCATGTAGGATAAGACATCAGTTAGCACAAAACAGGGAGATTAGCTTTTGCCTTTGGGCTGGATTGGAGAAAAGAGAGATGTCCATAAGAATAACTGGAATGGATGTAGCAGTCATTGCGTATGATGAAGGACTGAATGAATCAATAATACAGAAAAGGACGGACTAGCTTTCAGTGGTGAGGGCTGTGTTTTCAAGGAAAAAGTTATACCGTCTGGCACAGCTCTTGATGTGAATAGAAAAGAACAGGAAAAGGGAGGCAATGTGAACAGAAAGGTCAGTAGCATTGCCCAATGAAACAGAAAGGGGAACAGATTAAACAATAATTAAACAAAAGTAATTCCAGTCTGGCTTTTATGTCAACCCAACAAACCCCTCAGAAAAATAAAATTGTTTGTATCTGGAATATCCCAACACACTGTTACCATGCTGTGATAAGCTTCCAGTCATTACTGCAGCTCTGTATAGCTCTGCTGTGCTTTCTAATGATGACTCCCTACTAACTTTTAAGCTTGTCTATATGGGCTAAAAAGAAAATCTAAAAGTATAGAGTAAGGTATTAGATGAATTTTCTGTAGACCTGCTTCTTCTGCAGTAAACCTTAAGGTTAACAAAAATTTATTTCTAACTGACAAGCAACAAACTTAGATTTTAAAAAAATCTGCTTTGAAGTAAAACTCACACCTCTGGTTTTGGCAATAAAAGGAGAAAGATGTGCTTTAAACAAGATCCGACACTCCAAGTATCTTATAATTGTATTAACTTGCTAGGCTACTTGTCACCCTAGGGTGAGTTTTTCCCCTTATCCCCTTTCAATGTCAATGTTCAAGAAACTTTTCACAGCAAATTTTTCCTCAAAAATCAATATGCACCCAGTAAACATGTCAGATCCAATAAGAAAAAAAGTGTGAAAATTCTGAAACAATTTTAGGCTACAGAGCAAAGTAGGTCTCGAAAAATTGTCCTGTTTTCTGAATTGCCTTGAAACTTTCAGAATAACCTCTGCTTGGCACAGTTACCTACCGAATGAGGGTATTATGAAAACCCCACTAAATTTTGTGAGAAAATAGAGAATTTTGATAGGCTAAGCTTGACTCCATTTATCATTCATTATGCAAAGTGTAAAAAGAAACACAATATAAAAGACAGTGCAAGGATCAAGCTCTTAATTCTTAGGAGGAAAAAGATCCAGAATCCTCATCACTGCATTAGAAAGGGCAAGCTACCCTTCTTTTTATCTTCAGCATGGGTTTATCTGTTCTTGAGAGGTATCACATCCCAAGGAATATTCTACATTTCTGGAGGACCTCATCAGTCTCATGACTCCTCCCTTCAAAGACCAGATAACTATGAATTATAACTTGTCCTAATTTACAGTACAACCCTGTTTTAAATGTTTTTTACAATTTCACTGGTTTTCATTAGCTGTTGAGTTGCTCATCTGGGCACAATGGTGGTATGCTGGGTTGTAAACATGGGCACCAGAATCATCCCTGATATAATACCACTGAATTTATCTCAAGGAAGAATTTAGTCTAGAGGGTCTAAAGGTGACACACACCCTGTCCTGGTGCATGTCACTGCTGGGTGGCTGTTAGGCTCTGGGGAAAAGGCTACCGAGTACAAAGGACCAGCTGTTTATGCACAAGATGGCACAAAAAATGTCTCAGGAGGGAACAGCTCCCCTCCCTTCCAGCTGGTTGTGCTCAGAAACACAGGATCAAAAATGGATTCACAATGAAAAATGCCCTGCAATTACTGGAGTGGGCTAACATGACTACTCTGAACACTAACAGTGGTGCTGCAGTTCCCTGAATAAAAGCAGAAGCAAGTGTTGTAAAGCCAAGCAACAACTTACAGCTGGGCACCCAAAGGTGAAAAGTCATGTATGTTCAGTGGACAATGCCTAATTTGGCCAAAATACTGTCCTTCAAATTTGTATGATGATATACAGTATGTGGAAACTCAGCTATTTGATGGTGTCTCATTGAAAAATCTGGCAAGTTGCATATTCAGATGGTAACGCTAACCTGTGGTACTTCACTGATGCTCAATTAAGATTAACATGAGGGTGTAGTGAATCACATTGAGCTATGTTTCAAGGTTTGATTATAAACCATGTAGGTATCAATTTTTATGTTGCATTTATTTGCCAAAAAAGACCATTCTAACCCTCAGGGATCTGGTTCTCAATATGGTAATTAATTTTCCAGGTTTGTAATTAAACAGCTTCAACATGGTACAATCAGTAGGTAATAACATTCAATTAAAGACACAAGATGCATTTTCACCTTAAAATGTTTTTACCCTTGAAGTGATACCAATGAAAGAGGATAAAATAGAGTATTAACACTTTTCAATTACGCTAAATGACTTTAATCCTGCAAATGATGTCCTACTTTAATTAGAAGCTCTTCTCTTTATTACAGCATGATGGATGTCCACTTTATTAGATTCAAGTGTGACACTATAAGCTCACTTTACATAAACATTACCATGTTATTAAAATGCTCTACAAGGAAGGGTTTTGAAACATTTTCTAGCACATCGGTACTTCCCACTTTAATTTCAATATGCTATTCTACTTTCCCCTTGGAACAATTTTCACGTTAGTGAGACTCAGAATACTGCGCTTTTCCAGGATGTGATCCATGGAGGCTAGATCTAAAGTTCTCCGGCTAATATGCCGAAAGAAGCATGCTGAAGACTAAGCTTACACTCATCCAAGCTTACACTCATAAAGTAATAGTGTTGTATCTTTGTAAGCCACAAATGCAACAGAGCACAAAATGTTGTCAGCCTTGGTCCTGTCATTCTGGACCAGTTATCTGACCTCATGAAAAGGTGAGGCAAAAGTAGGTGGGGCAGAGCAGGAGATCTGTGGTTCAGTTCTTATTAAACTGAGCTGGTACAACGCACAGTGCCTCCAGATTAGACAAAAGGCACATCTATACTGCAAAGCACAGTGTGGATACTTGAGTTAATTCACATATCACCACATGGGGAAAAGTAGCATACTCTGAAAAGACTAATTTAGCCAATGGAAAAGGGTATGCAGTACAGATACATAGACAGATGTAGCCATGACAGTCTTCATCAGGGAGCTGCAGAAGGCACTGTCCTTGGGCATCCATTTGTCCCTTTTAATCTTTTCTCAGGTGCAAAAGAGAATACGGCACATAGTTTACAGTGTTCAAATTTAACATACTAACATGAACTGCACCTTGGAAGTGAGAAGGCCTGACTTCTGCTGTAACATAGTGCCAGTACAGCAACAGCAGTAAAAAAAAAAAAAATGTTATGGCATGAAGTATTTCCAAAACCAGATTCAGAAATTCCCTGAAACAATTTTACCGGAGAAAGAATCTGCGTGTTCAAAACCTGTATCTGTATGCACTATGAGAATATGCCAATGCAAATCAGCTTGCTAGGTATATATCTGCTTGATCATGTCTAGACAGGTTGTGAACTGTAATTACTGACTCTGATTAGTTAAAAATTGAGTCATGCCTTTTTTTATCCACTATGTTTGTCTCACCCATATGTTTGTTGGGGGCTTCAGAATGAAAAGTCTCTAAGATATATACTGTTGCTTTCTATATGTTTATACAGCACCTAGCACAAGTTTCATCAACTTAAATATCCTTTGAGTTCTTCACAATATTAATATTTCAAAAACCAGCAACAAAAATGTCGGTAGAGAATAGTAATAGCTAAAAAGACAAATTCCTGTGAAAGATTAAAAGAATCTGTGAAAGGTAATAAAACTAATATTTCTAAAAAATTAACAATATAACTATTTAGAAAGGCTTGAAAGACTTATAGGGTGTTTATAACTTACCTGGCTTCCTTCTTTTTGCCAGAAAACAGCTGGCTGCGGATTTCCTTTAGTTTCACACGGAAAAGTCACCGTTCGACCCTGGGCTACAATCTGGTCTCGTGGTCTCACCACAAACTGTGGGGGAGCTGCAATGTAAGAAAAAACATGGTGTAAATTTAGGATATTTTGCAAGGAGGAGATGAGGAATATTGAAGGAAAGAGACAACGTTATGGACATTTGTTTTATGCCAGAGGACATAACACCAGAAACATTGATTAGTGTAGACAGAACTAATATATAAATGAAAACAACAGCAACAAAAAGAGCAGCAATATCAATATGTGATATCCCCAGTTGTAAAAAAAAAAAAAAAGAAAAAGAAAAAAGAAAGAAACATTACAACCATACATGCCAGTATAAATTCTGATGACAATAAATGCTAAGGAGCAGCAGTCAAGTGTTTATGATGCCAGCTCTGGATGTATTCTACATTTCCTTTGGGTAGCTATCAGCACTCTCCCCTACGCTTCACAGAGCTTGTTGTGCTGGAGCTATCATGTATTGCAAGGTATGAATTAGGATATACATGCTGCCTTTTGCAGTCTGCCCCTCTAGACTTTTAAAAATAATTGAGAAAGGAGAGGAAAGTCTGGATGACAGCAGCAGGACAGAAGTTCAAGAGCTCCCTCACTTCTCTTAGGTGTAGTGTGGTCAAGAATGTAGTGGGAAGGACTTACTTGCTCTAAAAGAACAGTTGCTAAAACTACACAAACTTGGGAGATCCAGATTTCAGCTTGTGTAAAGACAAGAAAGAAGCAAGAGTCGAAGAGTTAGTGGGCAGCAGTGAGCGGTGAGTAAGAAGGAATAGGTATTCCAGGAGATCAAGAAGAAACAAGGAAAAGAAAAAAGGAGAAAGCGGAGCTAAAACAAGAAAGAAGCAGAAGAACTGGCTAGTAGATGGCATTAACAGTGTTCAAACCCAGTGGACCAGGAAGCACAGTCAGAAGTGAACAATTTATAAGAGAGAGGTGTAGTTTTACTTGTCTGAGGGTACTGATGGAGAACAGAGAGTCAATGTTTAGTGGGAATAAGAAGGGAGAGAAAAGGTGTTAATGTGCAGAAGGAAAGTAGGGAAGAAGCAGTGTTGGAGGTTTTGAGAGAAAAAAACTCGACATCAGTGACTGTTGAGTATGATGTGATAAAGCAAATGACTTTTATATGCATGACATGCAAACCTTCCAGTCTTAGTTCAGCATTGGAATTCACTAGAATTGGATTTCTACTATTTGGCATATCTTAAAAATGTAAACAGTGTCTCCAAATATTGTCATTGAAACACTAGCTAACTTTTGGGGCAGGCTGAAGAAGGGGACAAAACAGTAATAAAACCCCCCACATCAATTTTCTTCTATTCCACCATTGGTTTGGTGGTTGTGGAGAGGGATGGTTTAGGAACACTAAGCTTTTAGGTAAACAGAATTTAAGTGTTTTAGAAAACCATATTTTCACCATTATAATTACAAACTATTTAATTAGGCACGAAGAGCAATCAAGACCCAGCTTCCGATTACACCTGCTGACAGCACAGATGCAAATCTGCTAACTGCATAGAAATGTATGCAGATATGATTTTTTTAAATACACTTTACAGTTATTTCATGAGGTACTTCCACAGGCTTTACAGATCAGCAGGAGTCTAAAGAGCACCAGTTGAATAGCACAGGTTTAATGCATTCTTAAAACAAGAACTGCAAAGCACTTAATAAACATGAATCACCATCAGTTTAGAAGGTGGGGGGTGAGGACAACACGAGGAGTCTTCCTTCTGTCTCACTCCTAAGCACAGGTTTTGGCCACCCTGAAGAGAGAAGTGTCCACCTCTTCCCAGGGCCTCAGCAGGTGTTTCTGAAAGAGCAGGGATGAAGGGCTAGGTGCCCTGGTGCTGCCCGTTAATACCCATATGTTTTGAGGTTTCTATAAGAGCATAGATGTCGCTACACATGCTCTAGGATCTGAACTCATCCTGTACTATTCCTAGAGTGCTGGACTGCAGCAAGTTACTTGTTTTTCCCTCACCTTGTTTTACCTAGCATATCTGTATGCAATCTCTACAGGTGTCTGAAAGCAGTAATGTGGTAATCAGCACATGTGTGTG